TGAGAGCAGGCGAAGATTTGAAATGCGCGCTACAGATTCGGTAGTCGCCTGGCAAAAGTGGTACCCGCCTGACGTCACAAAACTTCAAGATGGCAACAAAAATCAAACTGGGACAATAATCAAAGAAAAGGACTGTGGTGGTTACAAAGGAATACCTAAATGATCATTCATTTTTTCGAACCCTTATAATTTAAAAAAATTAATTTGAAGTGAAGTACGTATTTGGAGACTTTACACTTTACTGGGAGAACATCCAATGCCCAGCATGAGCATTGGAAACGTCATTCGTGAACTCAAAATGACCGACTTGTTTTTTCTCTATGGAAGGGAAGGGCTCTGAGCTCCCCAGGAGCAGGGCCTCCGTTTTGCGTATTTTAGGACGCAGTGCGTATTTTATGAAGCCGCGCGTTCCATTGTGCGTCTTGCGTATTTTAGCGTATTTTATGTTGAAATTGCGTATTTTCGTATTTTTTCCACATGATAATCAGAGATTTGACAACACCAGACTCGCTTGACCAATAGGCAGGCTCTTTTGTGCAACATTGTAACCAGTGACGAGGTTGTTTTTTGTTGCCGCCATTTTTTTGGATCCCATGTTTAACCCAAAGTAACCCTAAATGAAAGTTCCTCCTTAGGCCTTGTCTCCATGAGCCGTTTCGCGAGATTTGTCCCAGGGAAAAATCCCACTTACGAAGTTGGGAAAAATATTGAGTTAATCAATATTTTTCCCAGTACCAAGTATGGTACTTGTACCCCTAGGACCCACTGAGAGAAGAAGAAGAAGTGAAAACGAATTGTGCTATATTTTATTCATTACTACATTGTCAATGTTTGTTTAGTTAAAATAATGTGTCTAATTGTCAATTGAGTGCAACTATTTTTTTAATCCGGGTTAAATACTCGACTTTAACTAATTTATCTTCCCGCGCAAACTAGTCGCAGGACTGATGAGCCCCGTCCCGTGGAGACGGTAAGTGGGAAAAATCCCAGAAGTTTCATTGCTGCGATTCGAACTTGGGATAAATCCCATGGAAACTTCCCGTGGAGACAAGGCCTTCTATACTATGGGTCAAATCATCAAAATTTCTTATAATTAGGTAACTTTGGGTCTTGAAGCTTTTGCTTAAGTAAGGGGAGAAAGATCCTTTCACTACTTACTATAAATGGATGGCATCCGTTTTTGGTTGTACTGCATACACTATAGGTGACTTCATACATATTGCTTAAAAAAAAATTTTTCTCCAAATTTCAAACATGGCTAAAATTGAAATACAACTTGAATGTTAGATTCACAACGGCGTAATTTTCTCGTACGACCTAAGCAATTTAAATACTTATCTAAAGCTTAAAATTTGAAACTGGCGCTCATCAGTGACGTTTCTAACCTCACGGTCATGACGTCATGACGTTGCGTTGGCGTATTTTTAAAACATTTCTCTGGAATTGGTGCATTCTCCGCGTTTGATTGGCGTATTATATGACTAAACGTGCGTCCCGTGCGTATTTTGTAAAATTTACACGCGTTCCATTGGGCGTATTATATCGCTGGGAGGGGCGTTCCATTGCGTTCCATAACGCGTATTATCTGAATTCTCACCGCGGAAGCCCTGCCCAGGAGCTCCCTTCTTCGGATTCTTCCCCTACCCACCTGCTACCACCCATTTTACTCACTCCACTCCACTTACAATTCGTCCTATTTCACTCTTTTTGTTTTACATCTCTTTCTCGCGACACATTTGCGCATGCACTGTTGTAATGTCTACCTTGAAAATGATGATGTTCAGCTAAATTGATTGGCTGTGTGTCATTTACGTGCCCCTATCATAAAATTGTGCCGTTATACCGATGCCATTTCCTTGAAATCTTGTGATTTCTAGCTTTGTGCATACAAATATCTTTTCGGGTATCAAAGCAGGTGTCGTGAAACTATCCCAAGCAAGTGCAATTCCGTAGATCCTTTTCTTTTTACGTTCATTTGTGTCGCATGCCTAAAAGTTGCTCGCGAGGAAACGCGTTATCTTCGCGTTGTTCAGTGTTTTTGTTTTGTTTCGCGTTTGTTGACAGAATGGGTGTATTTCTGAGCTGGAATCCCTATGCAAAAGTCCGCAATTGAAGGGAATAAATTCTTGCGATTGTCATGAAGAAATCGATTAAACCGAGACTACGCACTAACTCAGCATCCGACTACAAATCGGCGGAAAGATTGGCAGAATACAATAAAGGCAGCAACGAGAGAGTCAGCCCTGACAATCCACATTTCCTGAACGAGACCTGCAGTCAAGATCTAGGATTAGGTATAAGTGGTGAGACTTCGGATGTATTCAGTAGTTTAAATATCAGCAGCCCCACAGTAACCATGAAAGATAAGAAGGTATCTTCAGCCAGCCTCAGTTCTCCTGAGGTTGCAGCTGCCAAACCGAAAACCGTAACGGTGAAACATCCCGAGTCCAATAAACCTAAACCAACTGCAAAGAAGAACAAACCAGTGCAGGCCAACATGGATCTTGTCAAAGAACTTATTCGCAGCAAAGAAGAGAATGTCACTCGCCTCGACTTGAGCAAGTCTAACATAACCTCAATTCCTCAAAACATACGCGATGTAACAACATTAAACGAATTTTATCTCTACAGCAATAAACTAGTTTCTTTACCGAATGAAATAGGTTGCTTGGTGAACCTCCAAACTCTTGCCCTGAGTGAAAACTCGCTGACAAGCTTACCTGATTCACTTGTATCACTGAAAAATCTGAAGGTCTTAGATTTGCGGCACAATAAATTGAAAGAGATTCCGTCAGTGGTCTACAACTTGACATCCTTAACCACTTTGTTTTTACGATTTAATCGTATTCGCCATGTAGATGATGAGATTAGTAATTTAAAGAAACTAACTATGCTAAGTCTTCGAGAGAATAAAATCAAAGAACTGCCTGCAGGAATGGGTGAATTGACTAATCTGACCACGCTGGACGTCTCTCACAACCATTTAATTCGTATTCCTGAAGAAATAGGAAATTGCGCCAATTTATCGACTCTTGATTTGCAGCACAACGATCTCTCAGATATTCCAGAAACGATAGGTAACCTTCAAGCATTGACTCGCCTAGGTCTACGCTACAATAGATTAACCTGTGTGCCAAAGTCTCTCAGTAATTGTAAACACATGGATGAATTTAATGTTGAAGGTAATGCCTTAGTTCAACTCCCTGAGGGGCTTCTGACCTGTCTGTTAGAATTACAAAGCATAACATTATCTCGTAATATGTTCTCTGCCTATCCATCAGGAGGCCCTGCTCAATTTACTACCATTAACTCCTTAAACATGGAACATAATAAAATAGACAAAATTCCATATGGCATATTTTCCAGAGCAAAACATCTCACTAAATTAAATATGAAGGAAAATGAATTGACCTCTTTACCTCTTGATGTAGGCACCTGGGACAATATGGTTGAGCTTAATCTAGGTACAAATAAGTTAAGTAAGATTCCAGATAATATTTCAAACCTGCAAAATTTAAAAGTCTTGATCTTATCGAATAATGCTCTAAGAAGAATACCCTCAAGCATTGGTAACTTGAAAAAATTGCGGGTTTTAGATCTTGAAGAAAATAAATTAGAGGCTATTCCTAGTGAGATCGGGCTCCTGCGAGATTTACAAAAATTAGTGATGCAGTCCAACCAACTGACATCCCTACCCAGAGCCATAGGCCATTTGTCCAACTTAGTATTCCTGTCTGTAGGTGAAAATAATTTGAACTGCCTCCCCGAGGAAATCGGGACTTTAACTAATTTAGAAAATCTGTATCTTAATGATAATCCAAACTTAAATAGTTTACCGTATGAACTAGCTTTGTGTACTCATCTGCAAATCATGTCAATTGACAACTGCCCACTGGCTCAAATCCCTCCAGAAATTGTTGCTAATGGCCCATCCTTAGTGATCAAATACCTGAAAATGCAGGGACCCTATCGAACCATGTGAAAGGAGGAGCTCCTTTCAAATATCTAGGTACGGTTGAGTTTCACATCGTTCCAAGGTGATTTTTCAAAATCAGGTCTTTATTTAACTTTTCTAGTACCTACCTGTAGGTAGACTTCAAGTTAGTAAGCGTACAGGTATCTATTGATGGTAAAACTGCAAAAGCGAGGAACTCTGCTTTCAGAGCTGCAGACATCTTGTCTTTGTTCAGGGTGTCTACAAGTCTGGAAAGTACCGAAGAAGTACTGATTTTTTAGGGCGGTCTGGAATTACTGAAATAGTGCAGAAATTTTGCTAGAATGTCCGGAATTTTTTCATTTTTTTGGCATTTTTGTCGCAATTTGAGCAAGAAATTCAAATTTGTGAAATTTTTCGAATTTTGTCAATTTGGAGGTACTAAAAAATTACTGAATATTTAATGTGAAGGAGGTACTGAATTTCTTGGGAAGTACTGATTTTTGACCAGCCTGTTTTAGTAGACACCCTGGTTTATTTTCTAGATAGAAAGCTCCTTGACATCCCATCTTAAAAACTGAGGGAATAGTTATTTTGTTGTGAAGAATATACTGTGAAAATTTTAAGCCATGTTGGCTCAATTTCCTTTGAAAAATTAAATATCAGAAATTTTGAACCACCACAATCGATACCTAGATGCATTTTTGCAGTTTTACCATCGATATGCAATTCATCGGACTATCTACCTACCTGAGTTTTACTCATCGAACGCCTGTATATACTTTTCCAAAAATATTTAGTTTTAAGACCTACATTGTTTAATTTTTTTGTAAATTTGTCGCCACGATAACTTACTCAGACTGATAGACTGAAGTTCTGAAAACATCAGTGCCCATTTTAAAGCTCGGATATTTAAGAAACCTTTCCTTTCTTAACGGAATAAAAACGAATATTTACCAATGATTGTGCCGAAACTGTATAGAAAATCATTATTTCATTAGGTTACTAAGAGTAAAATTCTAGATTGGACTCACGATACCTACGAATACATGCCCTTTTAACTCATACATCACATACCATGATCCTTATGTAAATAAAATACAGATCAAATTGTTTCATGCTGAAAGTTGATGCTTTCAAGGATATGTTTTTAATTTTCAGTGAAATAGAAGTTCGTACTCTCTTAGTCGACCGTTTAAATCAGAAATCTGGAGAAGCCCCTTAATATTCATTTTGAACAGACGTAATGTCTCTTAGGAAAAATTGATGACTAAATTTGGAAAACAAGGTGTGTGATAAAAAAAATGATCTTTCTCCTTATTTTTGCTCTTACCTGAAGTCAGCTTTTTGACCGTAAAACTGCAGAAATGTGTATCTTGGTATGCAGCGTTGCAGACTTCCTGTCATGGTCTATTTTCTACGGAAAATTACAAAATGTCATTTTTTTAAAACATTAGTGATTTTTCTTCTCTGTGTAATGAACACTCAGTGAAAATCTCAAGCCATTATGTTGGTTTGGTGTCCCTTTAAAAGGCGAAATAGGAGGAAGATTTCGGAATGCTGCAACCGAGATATGCATTTTTGCAGTTTCACCGTTGTTAATTCAAATCACTGGTTAAAAGTTATTTTTCAGTAATGCTAAGAATTTAAAATTTTTCTGCTGTATGCACCCACACAGCTTTTTTTTTCTGTCCAAATGTATGCATTCAATGTAAGAAGAGCATCTTTCCCAATGGCTTAATTTGAACTGTTCTTCTTTTACGCTTCGCAAGTCAACTGTCGACTCTGAATTTTTTAACTTTGGTCTGAATCCACTCTCTTCTTGTCAAGTACCTGGGAAATTTTCACAGAAATCTAAGGCTTGCTGTTTTTGATGCAGACCTTCAATATCTCCAACAATGTCTGATCTTACTGATGCGGCTATCACTTCGATTTTTTTTTAAGGAAATGATGCTATCCTTACAGTTTATTCAGCTTGTGCTGATTTTAATCAACAGTTTTCTGGGGCGGGCACCATAGCTTTTTTCTGAATGTAAATATTGATGGTGCAACGAAAGATCATGCATCTTAGTAGCGGTGTAGCCAGTTAAACCTCTATTTATAATTCAGTTTTTCTGGATACCTACATCTATCAGCATCACTGATTCCGATTTTTTTTCTCCATAAAATTTGAACTTAACCAGACTTTTGCAACCTTTGAAATCAAGCTTCGCATCTTCCTAGTTTCTCCATCAATGTAATACTCATTTGCTGATTGTAAGTGTTGTCTATAACTTTGTCAATTTGTGGAAAAGCTATTCTGTAAATGTTCATTGCAATGGGTACATATGTATAAATCTGATAGTGAGTTTGTCAATTTGGAATGCTAAAAAAAGCTTAATACTTACTGTTTTCAAGATTAATATTCTGTTTACAAATTTTGTTGGTTCCATTTATATTGTTGGAACAAAATTTCAGATTGGTGCTATAAAAACGTGAGTTCAAATGAAAATTATTTATTTTTTTAAAAGCCAGCCTGTAAAAAAGACATAACTGATGTTTAGTTGTCTTCAAACCATATGTCATGTCAGAATTAGATTTTATGCATTACTGCATGACCATTAATGAAATTCTCATCGTCATAATAATTGAAATGGAATTTTAACAGTAATTCCCCTTTTCCCAAACAAATTTTCTCTCCAAAAATCATGATAGAGGTGAACTTGAAGCGACTTAAAAATATTTGTGAAATTGTGTACTAAGCCCATTATAAAACCTCTTAAGTGACCTGACCGTAGTAGTGTTAAATTTTAAACTCTATGAAATGGGTCGTTGAGACAGTATGCATTGGTAAACCACTATCATCATTACTTATCTTTCAATACAGTTCAGCCTTATTTCATTGCAAGGTCTGCTGGGAAGAATACTGATTTCTGTTAGTCTATACCTGATAAGAAGAATCCTTCCGCCAAACATCAGTACCTTTTCCTGCAAGGAAATTTTATGTACCTACCTTTGTGAGGAAACCTTTATCAATTCTCTCTGAAATCAAGTTTGTGCAATTGTCTTCAATATATCTGTAGCTAAGAGTCAAAGAGACATAATCGGGAATTTTGGATGAATCGAGTTATTTGTATTCTCGGCGAACTTAGTAAGGGATCTACATGCGTAGAAGCAAGAATGTGAAGGCGCTCAATGCCCAAAGGGTTGTGGTTCGACAGAGGGTAGTGAAGGTTCTACATGTGTAAAAAAAATATGTTTTTGTCTTCAACACCAGGCCTATAATACAGAGTTTTTAAATTTTCAAAATACGCTGCAGACAATGGAGCCTTTGTATGTTTTCCCCCTGTTTTCTTGAATCTGTTGAAATATGATTACAGTCCTTTGGCCCTTAGTTACAACTATGTCACTATTATTTAAATGCGATTAATTATGTTTGGTGTAATAGCAAATAACTGTAATCCGTCTTGAAAGTGATACCCACTTATTACAAATTCGTTTGAAGGTGCAATATCCATACCAAGGGCTGGCTAGAACTGATGCCCTGTGTTTTTGTCTTTTGATATCAGAAAAGAGAGGGACCATATAAAAGAAACTCTTTTGTGGCATTGCTCTAGGTTCTGCCTTTAACTCGTGCAAAGGCTTGAACGAACATTAATCATTTCCTCAGTAGGTTTTTAGAGATTATTAAAGGCCATCCTGGTTGTGTTAGGGGTTACAAAAGGAGGAAGACCTAAATGACACGATTTGTCTTACAGTTTCATATACCTACCTTGCATATTAAAATAAAAAAGAAAAATGTTATCCAAAAGACAGTTCTCTCAGCCATAGACCTAGGTTTGAGAGGTATTGAAATAGTGATTCAAAATTAAATCGGACTGTCCAAAAACCTTTTTCGACCCATTTTCGAGCTGATTGTTTTAAATTGCATGCGTTTTCACTACTTAATTTAAGTTTATGAATCATAAAATTGTGCAATCGAGTTGAGGCAATGATTGTGATGATTCTACATACAATATTGAATTTTCAAAGCTGCCTGATTTTTACAGTCAATATGTGTATGTGGTGAATCAAACAGCAGTAGAATGAGATCTCCTGAAAAAGCTATACTTAAATACTTCAATTTATGTAGTATCTGGCCCTAAGATGATTTGTATGGATTAAAAGCAGGATCAGCCTATCAGCATTTCACGTTGCTTAATTTTCTCTTGTATTTTATTTTTTTGTTAGAGAACTTACCCACTTAAATGCTTTTAAACTCTGTGAATTGTCTCTAGATTTTGAAGAATACACCCACAGAATTTCAAGTTTCAGTGTTGCTTGGTTTTTTTTTAACAAAAATAGAACTTCAGAAAATATTAAGCCATGTCTGATGTATGAGGCTGATTCTTGTTGTTAATTACGTTTACTTTACATAATGTTCATGCTACTGTTCTCTATATGTGAATTTGACTCAAAGTTTCTGTTTGTAATGAGTGTCCATTTTCTCCATAACTTTTAAAGGCAACGTATTCAATGCTTAGAGAGGTTTTGAATCCCGTGATATCCCATACTACTCAGGATGGTGTTCTTAACCTGCTGTATTTTTATCGATTGAACTCAGTGCCAAATACGAAATTACTTACTAATGATGACGAGTAGAAATGCCCTTTTACTGTTGCTTTTTATATCCTTTTGTTATCAGTTTTGATATTTTCTCCTTACTTTGAAGGTGCCCAATTGTAATTGGATGAGTTCATGCAAAAAAAGTCAGGGACTGTTCACAAGATACTTCTATACACTGGAAATGGGATTTATTTACTCCCCTAGTAACGAACCTGTAATATGGGTTTGCAAAAAATTTCCTAGTGCTTATCTCAACCCTACCCTCTCACCCCCCATTTAGCATTTTGGAAGGAGTTTTGGCTTTAGGTAACACAGCCCTGAATGCCCGTACTCCTCCTGTAACGCATTGGTTATGCAGGTTCCAACTCCATCTATCCTCAGTATTTTTTGAACAAACCCTTAGTGTCCATGTTCTGTGTGCAACACAGGTGATTCTCGGCAGACTTTTTTTACATGATCTCAAGTCAACAAAATTTTAAAATGTCTAAATGAAGATTTTAAGTTTTTATTGCCCATTTTAAATCGTTTGCTGAAACGTCAACATTTGTGCCAATTTTGTATTCTTCCACTGCAGTATTATCGTTCTTATCATTTTCTCCCCCTTTCTTTCTAATGGTTATCAGTAACCATGCTGGTGGACTGTTGTATCTATTTTTATACTCTGATCTTATTTTAACACAAAAAATGTGACCCACGTACTGCAAGTAATAGGACGGTATAAAAGTGTTGGGTCTACACTATTTTGCAGGAAAATCATAGCCAAAAAATTAGCATAATGAACACGTAATGAATTACAAAATGAACTGTACTGGGTTTCAGTACAAGACTGAGGGCTTTAACTCATCAAAAACTACCTAGAAACTCATTACTTAGAGCTCATTTTGTTTTGGATTGTTTGGCTTTGATTTGCCAGCAGAAATCAAACCCAGTAATATTCTACCATCCTGTTACTGTTATTTTAATCCAGAGTCTGTTTCTTTCCTTCAAAATTTTATTACCTATATACTAACTAAAAGGATTAAACCAGATACAGCTTAACTGCGTTTAACATTGCCTAATTTCCTCTATTATTTCATTTGTCTTACAGAGAACCACACAATAGAATGTCTTGAAACGTTCTGAAATTTTTTTCTCTTTTATAAAGAGAGTGCTCACAAAATTTCAAGTCTGAACGTTGTTTAGTTCTCTATTTAAAAAATACAACAGCAAAAAAAATTATGCACTATCTGATGTAGTTAGGCTGATTCCGGTTCAATTGAACTACAGTTTACAACTAGGAACTACAATTTCTGCTTCAGTTTAGGAACAACGTATGTACCATTAGTTTCCCTATGCACATGAGCATTTGAACCGATGAGCCAGGAATTGTAGTTCCTGATTGAGGAATGTAGTCCAATTTGTCCAATGAATGATGAAGATATTCCTGAAGTGACAAAGCATGTTTAAGTCCTCGTCAATTTCGGCTCAAATATGTAAATATCTATGTCATTTTAATTATTTTACCGTTATTTTTTTATCACTACTTTTAATGTGTATTTACATGAGCCTCATGAACCCCATAGCTAATTATGTTATTTGTCTGTGTTATTTTAATTTTAATGGTGAAAAAAAAAAATTATTAGTGTATTTGATTTGTATGATAAAATAATTTATGAACATCATCGTCGTGCGTCGAAACTTATGATGATCTATTATTTTGAATCGAATGCATTATATTTTCTTGTATGTGCTAATTATTAAGGCGTCTAATTACGCATCACTGTCACAGGTTTTTCACGTTCTTGAAATCGAGATTCCTCTAAATGCAACAACTTATTGAAGGTTAAACTTAGAAAGCAAGTACCTCAATAGGCTTTTAGACAAGGTTTGAACTAAAGCACTATGCAACATGTTACCTCTACGAAATTTCACAAGGAAAACTAATTGCACCACAAAAAATCTGGAAATCAACCTCTAAACAAGATGTTTTAATAATTAGCATAGGTTAAATAGCAAAAATACAAATAATGCCATTCATAAAGTCTAATTTCCATTTGATCTGTAATAAAAAGATTCATCAGTGTATCATTCAGGAGTTGATTTCTGTGTTACCTGTTGTGTAAATAGTTTTCCACAAAAAATTTTGATGAGAAAGCATGTGACTTTTTGCCCCTTCCGACCTTGTCTATTGTGGCCCAACGCTGTCTTACAAAATTTTATTCCTTTTATTTCTTGGAAGGAGAATGAGCTATGTTAATTGCTTGAAATTTCCACTGATTGTTTTCAAGTTAGAGAAGAAAATTGTGGAAATTTAAAAAAAAATCTAGCTGATTGGCTCTCCGAGTGAATCCAAACGCATTACTGGAAGTCTGTATTGTTTTCAACAGAGTTACAAAGTTTCCGAGTTCAGTCGTTGATATTTTTCTCATTTTTATTGCTACTTTTGACTGACCTAAAAATCAACTTTTATGCATGAATTGTTGACTAATTAGTTCTTCAAATTGATTTCCAGTTGGGTAGAAACTTGTAGCCTCCATAAAGATATTGATAGAAATCGAAAAGGATTTGTCCGCATTATCGGCATCATGAAATGTCTGTTCTCCTATAGCTCTGCACAGAAAAATAGCACTCTTCATCTGTAGTCAAATTTTTAAAAGACACTCTTTAAAAATCGAAATATGTTTAATCAAAAGTAAATTGTTCAAGTCAAGTTCAGTCCAATTTTTCTGTGTTATTTATAAAACCGTTGATTTCTCTAGTACTGAATTTTTCTAAGAATCATTCAAGCTTTGCATGAGAGAGCCTTTTAGTCGATTTCAAGGCTCTCTCATATCCATCAGCAAGAGAATAACTTCTCTCATTAAAAGAGTAGGAAAGGGAGCCCCTATATTTGTGTGAATATACCTTTTTCTTAGCTGCTGTTCAGTGTCTAAATTAAAACTGCAGGATTCTCTTCAAAATTTAATTTCTGGGAAGGAGTGAAGTACTAATAAAGAGACTTCATTTTACAGTCCCTTGAATTTTTAGTGCCGAAGACCTCTAATGTCAAACCCTGAAATACTGGTTATCGTAGGAGAACTAAGTCTGTTATGTTGTTAATCGGTTGGAAGAAAAGTGTACTTTTTATTGCAACTCAAATAATAATGAACTGTTGAATTTCTTGGATTAAGTTTAATGTACAGAAAAATTGAAACCTATACTTGTAAGATTCTGCAAAGAAAACAGTATGAAAAATTTGTTGCCTCTGTGTATATATAAGCACATATAAGTATTATTTATGAGGGGAACAAATTTTCCAAACGATAATGGACGAATGTATCCATACCCTCCCCTCCCCCTCCCCCCAGGTATACCACCTCCATTTTATTCTGTTAACTTTGATGTGATTCACTTGTCATTGTTAAATGTTTAATATTATCCATGTTTATTGACAACCCCGATAAAAAAAAATAAATAAATAAATATTTTATTGAAAAGTGCACCTTGTGTTATTGTTTTCTATAATCCAAATCGTTGTGCTTCTTCTTTTCATCACTCACAATATCTTAAGCAGTTTTAATGATGTATACATATTGCTTACTTTCTTGCTAGGAAAGCACATTTGCATTAAAAAATAACTCTCTAGTAGCACTGACTGTTTAATCTGAATTTTAAAAAACAAGAAAGATCTGGTTAAAAGTGGGAATTAGGAAACCAACTTTTTTTTTTTTTTTTTTTTTTTTTTTTTTTTTTGAAGAAAAATGTATGAGAGTATTACTTCAACTTTCTACAGCATGATGTCACTTTGCCATAACAACTTGCGTTGGTTACTTAAAAATTAAACTATTTCTCTGCAACTCTGTTTACTTGTTGTATTTGACGTGACTGTTTTGACTGTTGTAGTTGACGTGACGTATTTTGTCTCACAGTAGTGGCACAAGATACGGACTGCTTTTTTCTCAGTATACGCCAGAGGGAGGAAGGAAAAAAAGTGAAAAATAGCTTGAGAAATAATAATAATTTTCTTCCGTAAAACTTGTTTTTGGTGATTAGATCAAGGGTCATCTTGATTCATCAATGAACTAATGACATATTGTCTTTCGAGACCCTGATTCATCTTAGCATCTATTCATTGTTTTGGTTTTTTTTTTAGTGGGGGTTACGAAAGATCAAAAAATCCAGATGATTTCATAAAAAAAAAAAAAAAAAAAAAAAGAAAAAAAAAAAAAATACCTACGTCTGCTAATTGAGGATACCTAACTCAGATAGCAGGAAAGTGAAGATGTCAGGTAGATAGTGCTTGTTATGTACCAAAGATAGAGGCTATTAGGAATTTCAAGTGGAACTCTGAAACAGAGCCATCTCTGTTTACTCTGTGCAAAATTGAGTTTTTTCAATAATGTAATTTCTGAAGCAGGAAGATTAAAAACAGGTGAATTTCTTATCGACAGTGTAAGTTGGCAATTACATAACTCGGTTTGCGACGTCGCAGACTTCTTGTCTCACTTTATTTTTTAAACGGAAAACTACTTAACGGCAAGTCTTTAAAACTGCAGTGATTTTTCTTCTCTTTGCGAAAAAAATTCTGGATAAACTTCAAGGAATGATGTCAATTTGTTCTCCTTTAAAAAAGTAACATAGAGGCGGAGATTTTCAGACACCGCAAACAAGTTATCATGTTATGTGATTGCCGACTTACACCGTCGATATGCAGATTAAGCAGTTAGGAGAGAGACTTTTCTGATGTTCTCATCATGATTATTGAGTAATTTTCATTAGAAACAGCATCCCTGTTTGTTCTCGCCAACTTTTTCAACAGACCCACTTGCAAGATGAGAAAAATTGGAGGCTCTTAATTAAATGATTTCAACAATTGTCCTTTTTTTAACAGAAAAATGTATATTAAAAAATAATTAGGATGCTAATTGAGATTAGAATTTTACAAAATAAAGAGGAAATTAATTACAATAAACAGAATGAAAGAACTTTAAATAATACAAACATTATCCATCATGATTCTCCGCAGCAAATAGTTTGATGCGACAGCATACGATAATCATTCATTCCAAATCTTTTCAAAAGCTTGTTGGTGCCATTTACAATGAGACTGGGAATTTCTGCTTCTCCATCTCTGCCCTACAACAGATTCACGGTAAAAGTTAGTAACAATATTTCATTGAAAAATTGGCAAAGATGCTCTGGTCCCTCGCCACTAGAGAGGCAGAGAGTCACTGCCTTGGAGTATTTTTTTAAATGTGGAGACGCAGTCAAAATGGCTCCTTAGGGTTTGCCGAGGCCTATCAACCTTCAACAAAAAATCAAGCCAATAACCTGAGTCCACTTCTGACCCACCACTTTTTGTGTCAAAAACTAAGTTCAGGAGTGTGATTTGATTTAAAGCATTTTCAAAAATTCATGGGAATCATTCTCAACATTTCTTGGACCATTTTCTTTACCTTTATTTATACCTTCACCCAAAAATTTGTCCAATTGCTTTTTGATTTTTATTTTAAATCACAGAGCATCTGCTACCATGGTTGATGAGAGGATTCAATACCACCTACCCATACCTGGTCATTGTTTGATGTTACCTGGTCGTAGTTGCGAAGGACACAAGGGATCGTGAAGGGAGGACTTAAAATAATTGATTTTTTTACAAGAGAAAACGAATTTGTTCCACTTATGGAATTTTTAATTTAAATTCTAAGGAAGTTTGAACGAATTAAGCAAATTTGTATGGCAGAATCATATTTGAAAAGAAAGTAAAAATTATTTAATGTATGCCAAAATAGAAAATGCTTTCTTCCGCAGAATTTATTGTTGCCGGGTAGTGTTGAAAATCAGATAATTTCCCTTTTAAACCCGTGTAAAATATCTGAATTACTTATATTGTACAATCTGGCAATATTGCCGCAGCTAATACCAACACATTCTCACTTGATTTCTCGAATGGCCAGGAATGGTATGTAGGAATTGGAGGATCTGATAATTCCAAGTCACTAGGCAATAAAAAACGAACCACAAAAAGCTGTGAAATAAAAGAGTATTAAGATACAATAGTTTAGAACTCACTAGCTAAGGAAAAAAGCATTAAAAATAATACCCAAACTTTAAGTAAGAGGATGGTAGTACAGCGCTGTGTCAACACTATTCTGAAGGGAAATCAAGGCCAAAAATTTCCATAAGAGTAAAAAATATGATCTTCTAAGAGTATCAATGCAAGACTGAGGGGGAAGAGTGTTCAGCTTGGGCAGAAGCATTGAAATACTAAGCTAGGGTAATGCCGAGAGATCTGTACTGAATTGGATTTTTAGACCTCATTAATTGATCAGACTTGTCAGTTAGCCCAGCTTAGCATCCTGCAAAATCCTAGATGGCATTGAAAATTTGTCATGAACAGTAACAGTCCCTGTAGGGAAAAGGGGGGAATGGGAAGGAAATAAGGACAAAACTATCAGGATCAGAAGAGCGTGTATGAACGTGAGAGAGGATCAGAAAGACAAGTCGTGGTGCGTAACCATAGATACATACAAGAGATATACATGATACAGTCAAAATCGTACAGGGTGCCACCCCCGGGCGGGCTATGCCGGGTCTAGGACAGGGCAGATTTCTNCGCGTCACTAGACAAGGTCAAATCACGTCGGGGTCACCAAAACTGTAGGGAAAAGGGGGGAATGGGAAGGAAATAAGGACAAAACTATCAGGATCAGAAGAGCGTGTATGAACGTGAGAGAGGATCAGAAAGACAAGTCGTGGTGCGTAACCATAGATACATACAAGAGATATACATGATACAGTCAAAATCGTACAGTCCCTTTTAGTCTTGCACTGCTACTCATATGTTCATACTTACCTTTGACTCAAATGAAAATTTTTGGCTTTCATCTCCCCGCAGAATAGTACAGACCCATCAGTATTCTACCATCCTGTTAAGGACTGGTAGCACTTCAATGACTAGGCGCAAGGAATGCATAACTCAGGTGCTACGTTCCCAAATCTCCTACCATTTTTCAAGGAAACATAACAAAATTTTTCCTTGCAATTCTTCAAGATTTCTTTCTTTTTTTCTCCTTTTAATGAGAAGCAAAAGTTTCCAAAAAACGATAGAGACTGGTTATTAGTTTTCCTTCACAAAAGTAAAATGCGAGTGGAGACTTTTAAAGTTGCGATCTGAGATACATTTATGACTTTAGTAATAAACGGATACATTAAATCTAGATACCAATGAAATAGAAATGTAGTGCAGGGCCAAAATAAGCTAAAACTTGGAGTACATAATCATATAAAACTCTAGACTCCAAATCTGAATCAGAAATTTACTGAATGAAAAACATCAGTTGATGCGGATCTTACCGAAGTTGGACATTAAAGTCATCTTCTACGTTGTCGTCGTCCCAGTTGTCCTCCCAAACATTGATGTCTTTTTCATCTTCATCTTTTCTTGTCCAGTCTAAAAATATTAGAGTAAAATCAATAAACACAATTGGTGACCTATGTTTTTCATGCCTAAACTTCAAACTACTGACTTAGGGAGCTATTTTTTATCCATAACACGTGATGAATTGGGTTATCTGCCATTTGACTTCAGGTCAGGACTGCACCAAACCTATCAAAAACCCAATTAGGAGGGGCAATCCGAGCGTACCACTGTAACGTAAGGTACTGGCTGAACCGCAACAGTGGGCCAGGATAAAACAGTTACACAGTTTATTGCGATCCTCTATAGTTCTTAAGCATAAAGCTCTGAGGCTTCTTGAAACTTAGTTAGGGTATTTGATCCTCTGGCAAAACTGTCAAGGCTACTGCTTTTACTATGAGAATTTACATGGTAATAGTCAATGATTCTAGGAAGAATGAATAATACGATAATTTTATAATTCATTTTAAGAGGTCGAGAGCATTCATGATAAGAGAAACTGCAAAATGTAGAAAAAGAAAGGTTTATACCTTCAGCAGGAAATTCTTCGAACTCATCATCCTCTTCCAGGACTCCGAAGTCCGGTTTCGGTTGCTTGTCTTTCTCAGCTTTTTGGTCTGGAGTTAGGGTCATGTTGAACTGATTGAATTTTTAACTTAAATCAAGAGAAGAGCGGAAAACAACTCAACCAAAAGTGAAAACTTAACTTTCGCAAACTCACGATTTTTCTCGAACCTTTGTTCTAGGTTAGTTGTTGGAAAAACAATAACAACCGACTTTCAACAACCACCATAAACGTTGCTTCTCGCTGCGCCAATCAACAAGCTACACATCTTGGCGCCAATCTAGACCATCTGGTATTGGCTAATTGCAAAACAGGTTCAAAATGTGGCGGGAATATTCGAAATGACGGGACTTGGTCCAAATCACCGCAACCTGGAGTTAATGACAAATTATTAGTTTGTTACCTTCTAGAGAGGTATGAAAGATCTATCTTGTTTCGTGTACTTGATTTCAATGCAAAATTGAGAGCAGAAAATTGTAATTTTCAAGAATTTTCAATTCTTGTTCCTATGCAATTTCCGATGTTTTTTTTTTTCTTTATGAAAGTGGATGAAAATGTGGTGGGATTTTCCGAAGATAGATAGAAGTGTTCGTCAAAAATAACAATTTAAACTTATAGACACCATTTACGATATTATACTTATTTACCGAACTATTCTGACACGGTGAGTCATTTTTCCAGACAAGCATTATTTAAGTTTACCGCATTTGACTAAATAGCTGTGAATTGGTACTTATATACTAAGTACTCCGAAATTATCACTCCGTTGATGCCCTCCCTTCGGAAACTAGTTTTTCTCTCAGGAAGTGCGTGGGTCACTCAAAAACAACTTGGTCAACTGAAATTGTAAATTCAAATAAAAACACGGGCGAAGGACTCTTCTTCCTTAACATCCCGTCCAAGAAAAATAATATGAGAGGGAAAGGAGAAAAAGAAGAAATAAATGAGCGGAAGAAGAGGAGGGAGAGAAAGGAAAATCTAAAAAAAGAAAAGAACAAGAGGAAGATAATAGAAAGAGGAAGAAGAGAAAAAGAAGAAATGTGAAAGAGGCGGAACAGTGGTATCATAGTGAAATTGCACGCCCTCTTGGAGCACATACGCCGGTAAGTTGAGACGCTGAACGCTGTTCAATTGCCTTCAAATTCTAGTGTAGGCAAAACGAGCTCCCGGTGGTCGAATAGTGGTCATATCGTCACCTTCCAGCCAAAGTATCACAAGCGCCATGCGACGTTTCAAAATCTCCGCCGCCTTTATATTTTTTTACAAAGAAATCGTTGGTCGAATCTGTTCGAAAATTTCACTGAGTTTAATCGGCAGCACAAAGAAAATTCAGTGAAATTTTCGGACAGCTTTGTTGAACAATTTCTCTGTGAAAAAATAAAATGACGGCGAAAATTTTTAAACGTCGCACAGCGCTTGTGATACTTTGGCCGGACGGTGACGATATCAGTTCGCCTTCATTATTTAGTGTAGGCAACACGCCCATGGTGAACTTGCGGAAATGCGTATCTCGGTTTGTGGCGCTACAGACTTCCTGTCTTGATTTATCCTCTACATTGAAAACTTCTTATCATAATTCATTTAAAATTTCGGTGATTTTTGTTTTTTTCTATGTTAGGAATATTCTGTAGAAATTTCAAGTCATGGTGATGGTTCGGTCCTCTTTTACAAATTCAAAGAGGAGCGGAAATTATTGGACACCGCAACCGAGATGCGCATTGTTATATCGCAAAGTTACGTAACGCAGCCTTGGACTCCTTCTTGTAACGCACCCGTGAATCAGGCTAATGGACAGCTTCTCTTCCCCTAGAGTGTCACGTATTTTATAATCAGTATTGAACAGCCTCTATCCCTGCCAAAAATGGTGAGTACAAACGAGTAGAAAATCAAAGTCATATGAATAGAATTTCAATTCAAATGAATAGAAGTTCAACTCATATGAATAGAATTTCAACTTATATGAATAGAATTTTACTCGTGTGAGCAGAATTTCTCTATTCACATTTCGCCGACTCATATAACTAGAGATTCAAAATCATATGACTAGACTGAGATTTCAACTAATCACTGGAAAAAAACACATTGGATCTAGAGTCCAGACTCTTGAAAACATTCACAAGAAAAAATACTCTTGATTCAATAGGATTTTTGCTTGAATCAAAACGAAATCCGCTTAAATTAAGAGGCTTGGTTCTTGATTTAAGCCAGATTCTTATTGATTCAAGAGCAATTTTTCTTGGCAATGTTTTTTTTAAGAGTCTGGACTCTAGATCCAATGTGTTTTTTTTTTTTCAGTGCGACCAGTGAAAGCTCGTTTTGCCTACACTAGAAATTGAAGGCAATTGAACCAGCGTTCAACGTCTCAACTTACCGGCGTGTGTGTGTGTGTGTGTGTGTGTTTTTTTTTTTCCAGTGCCATGTGAGTTCAGCGTTGAATATACCGTGTCCGCAGGCCCGCCACAAGGGGAGGGATACTGGGTCCCTGGTGCCGGGGCCCGGGCTCCGGAGGGGGCCCGTGTTACCCGTGAAAAACTACTACGAATTCACATGCAACCCTTGTTTCGTAAGAAAAAGTGAAAAATTTATCCTAAAAATTTCGGAAAAGGTGAATAGATTTTCAGAAGTACGCTGGGGCATTGTAGAATTCTTCTTAAATTTTCAAAGAAGTATACTTCTTGGAAAATATCTATCTATTTTCAAGATTTTCAGTACAGAGGGATATTTTTAGTAACTGCGTTTCATTTTCTTCCGTCGTCAGATGCTAAGAGTCTACAGTCTGGGCATCCTCGACTTCAATGCCTCATGGCTCAACTCCCTTGCCCTAGACAAACGAAGGAGGCGTCCAGGGGGGCCTGGCCCTCATAGAACTGAAAATAGTATCATATGCCCCCCCCCCCCCATAAAAAATAAAAGTTTTCCAGATGTTCTGAATGCAACAATTCGCAAGTATTTTGTGCTGAAAGTATGAAAAAAAAAACAAAACATAACTATTCCGCAGAAATTAATGGAAAAATTCTTTATGGAAGCTTCAAAATGCGTCCGATTAGTCGTTTAACTTCTAAAATTTCTCGGGGATGCACCTCGGACCCCCCCCCCTCCGTGCTTGGGGCACGGACCTTAAAACTGGTACCAGGGCCCGAGATGGGATGTGGCGAGCCTGCATGAAGGCTATTTCCATTTAAATCTTCCGTCACATTCATACGGCGCAATGATACATTAACTATTTGAACTCTCCGGAATGCGTGAGGTATCACGCCGCATTTGAAGGCGTTTTCAAATCAGCCAAATCCCGATATCCGAATAATCATTTTGCATAGTTCATATTCTTTTGTTATATTCCGTGCCATATGTTTAATTATAATCCTCCTTAAAAAACCACCCATTTGCTATATACAATTCTAGGTGAAGCGCACCTACGCGCATTCATGACTGCAAAAATGTCAACGGAAATCGAAAAGGCCAGCGTGCATGAAGGCTATTTCAATTGCAATCATCCGTCGCATTTCTAAGGCGCAATGATACAACTATTTGAACTCTCCGGAATGCGTGAGGTATCACGCCGCATTTGAAAGCGTTTTCAAAACAGGCAAGTTCCGATATCCGAATAATCCTTTTGTATAGTTCATATTCTTTTGTTATATTCCGTGCCACTTGTTTAATTATAATCCTCCTATAAAAACCACCCATTTGCTATGTACAATTCTAGCTGAAGCGCACTGAAGCGCATTCATGACTGCAAACATTTCAGAGGAAATCGACAATCCCAGAGTGCATGGAGGCTATCGCCATTAAAATCTTCCGTCACATTTCTTACGGCGGAATGATACAACTATTTGAACTCTCCGGAAAGCTTGAGGTATCACGCCGCATTTGAAAGCGTTTTCAAAACAGGCAAGTTCCGTTATGGGAATAATCGTTTTCCGTAGTTCATATTCTTTTGTTATATTCCGTGCCACTTGTTTATTTTTAATCCTCGTAGAAAAACCACCCATTTATAAAGACAATTCTAGCTGAAAAACACTCCAGCTATGCATTCACCACTGCAAAAATTTCAGAGGAAATTGACAAGCCCAGCGTGCATGGAGGCTATCTCCATTTAAATCTTCCGTCACATTCTTACGGCGCAATGATACAACTATTTGAACTCTCCGGAATGCATGAGGTATCACGCCGCATTTGAAGGCATTTTCAAAACATAGTTCATAATATTTTGTTTCCATTTCTAACCAAATCATAATCCTCCTATAAAAACCACCCATTAAGAAAACATGAGCTAAGAAAACATAGCAATCCTATATGCAAGCGAAATTTACAAAAAAAATTTCATCAGCTTTTCAAAGCTTGATTCCGAGGAGAATACACGCGTAATGAATCATGCTTAAAAACTTAGGTAACGCGACGTTTTATTGTAGCACGCGAAAATATTGACTTTCCATCGGCACTCCAGTTCCATACGATAACAGATTGCGGTGACGTCTCGCAACTTGCAACGTCCTGGCGCAAGGAGGCGTCTATAATTGTAGCATGACGTCGAGAGACTGAAGGTTGTTTACGATTCGGCCGAGATCACACCAGGACGGGAGGAGAGGAGGGGTACAACGTGATTGTTGAATCAACGATGAGGTTAGGTTAACTAGCTATACCCAATGATGTATACTCCAGAGTCAACGGTCATCCATCGGTTAAGACAGCGGATTTTTCGATCACGCGCTCAATTATCAGTGAGTCGTAGTGACGTCACAACCGGATGCACTCACCGCGATTGGAGGCCTTCGATAAATATGCTGGTTATCTATCGATGTTAAGTGCGGGAAACTCCGAGTTTTATGTATTGTTCATGAGAGCGTTTTCCATAATAGTCCTCTGATTCGTCTCATCAATAGATGATTTCTGATTAATCCACGCACAAATTAGGTACGTATTCATTTACTTGTATTTCATTCCTCTCGCCTGAAAAAATATCAAGGTACACGAATCGTAAATTTTCTTTTCTATTCGAAGTAAAACTGAATTGTAGAATATTGATAATGGGCACTCTGTGGAAATTCAGTTCACTGATTATGATTTGCTTTTTCCCTAATCAAGTTTAATATAATGGAACCAAATATCATATAACCATATAAAAGTGAATTATGTCTTACAAAGTAGGTAGCCGTTCATAAAATACGTAACGTTCCGAAAAAATCCTGCGTGACGGATGCGTTTTCGGGGGAAGAAGGGGGTCGCATTAAGTAATGCTTAACGCTTATTTTTTACTTGTTCATTGATGTTTTGTCATGTTTGCTTCTGAAAATTACAATTTAAAAAATGCCAGAATCACTAATGATGTCCTCATTTTCATCATTCAGCTCTACCTTTAATCATTTTCTACACAGGGAGGACAAGACAAAGGAAAATCTGCTGTAAATCAGTGATTTTGGGATTTTAAGGCGAGTATTTTGGGAACCTTTCCTTGCTTTTTATAAGAAATAGATCTGCGTTATGATTGCGTCACGGGAGGGAGAGGGGATGAGAAATATACAATTCTTAACATCACGCATTTTGTAAACGGCCCTTCAAGAATTTAAAATTACATGCGTTCAGTAGTTTAGTTCTACGATAGAGACAGTGGCGCGGCGTGAATTGCGATATATCGATTGTTATGTAATTTAAACCTATGGTAAAGAATCGATTATTAAGGTGTTCGCTGCGAACACCCTGTCAATCGATCCTTTTCCATAGGTTTAAATGACAGATCAATCGATATATCGCAAAGCACGCCACGCCACTGCATAGGGATAGTATATAATGGCCCCCTTCTTTCGCTTTTTTGACAAGATATTTCGTAAATGGAAGAAAGGACGGGTGGTTTTAGGGGGGGGGAGGTTGATTTCAGTTTGATTATGGCATCAATTCATTTCGGAGTTGATTAAAAGTTTAAGCGCTTTCGCTCTTAGCCTTTTTGAACATCATAATACAGAGTAGGTAAGTGAGTTGATTGATCCGAAGGTCAAGTTCATGAATGTGGCGACGCACGCAGCGCGTATTCCTGAGATTGTGCAATTTTTAATTTTATTTATATCTCTTCAATTGGGAGGAAAGTAAAACTCATGTTCAAAAATTTTACCAATTTTCATATAATCGCTACTTTTCTCAGCAAACATTTTAAACGTTACAGCATTAAGATACTTGCACAATCTTAAAAAGTGTTGCAACACCTCTCTGGCCTGCAGCCTCTAGCCATCGAGTAAGTCAGTTGTGACCAGCCATGAGTACTGCCATGCCGTGCTATAAGGAAGAACGCCGTATGAATATTCGAGAGTTGCCAAAATTCTCCGGCTAAAACATGTGTAGTATTGTGGAAAGTTGCAGATGTTTTCCTCGAAATTTTCCGTTATTTTAGATTATATTACACACAAAATTGTCCGACAAATTTGAAGGAAAATGTGCACAATCTTCTCAGTAAATTCGATTTTCAGTGAAGGAAATCTGGCTACGTCTGAAAGTTCACACGGCGTTTTTCCTTAGCACGTCACGGTAGAGGGACCACAATGCCTGGAGACAAATTTTTAGGGGATGCGATTTTTATTAAGCTGCGCATCATGGGTTGATTAACAGAATTTGATATTTCGACGCAAAAAACTTTTGAATGATGTAAAGACCCCGTAAGTTTACAAATGTTCAGCAAAATCGGAAGGGGTCGGGTACCGGACCTGACTGGGTTGACGCGGAATGGCCCATAACTTAAATTTTGTTTTACCATTTTCCAGGTGAATCAAAATGGCTGCGTTTACCATACTGAGCACACTCCCTTCCGTGACGAGTGTGGTCCTGATAGTTTCCAGTGTTGCTCTTTGTGCCGCATATTACCTCCATAAAAAATACTCATACTGGGCGAAACGAGATGTGCCCTACGTGAAGCCGGACTCCTGGTTTTTCGGAAACACCAAAGAAATGATCTTCCAGCGGGAGAGCACAACTTTCATGTTTGCGAGGCTTTACAACGAGCTCGCAGGTCATAAATTTGGCGGTTACTACCGGAATCATAAGCCTTTTCTCGTGCTCCGAGATCCGGAACTGATAAGATTGATCTTTGTGAAGAACTTCTCGCATTTCCACGACCGGAACACGCCTGACGAAAGGGATTTCGATCCTTTGTCCAAGCATCTCCTCAACTTAAGAGGACAGAGGTTCGTTTTTACAAGGGCTTTTTTCAGTGGCAATTCCAGTAAATTGATAACAATGTTACTACTCCATTTAAACATAGAATATATCGATTCTAGGCGAGACAGGCTGTCTCAGCTGGAATCGACAGTTCAACACACATTTGAATGGAGAAAAAAGTTTTGCCAACTTGCAAGAATCGCCAATGGCTTTTCCATAGAATTTGCATTGTACGTGGATTGCATTTTGCAAAAAGGAACCACGAGTATTCCAATGTCGCTATGGTTGTGCAACTTGTTTCGCCTTGCAAATATAAACTGATCATCTGAATAAGTTTTATGTATACTCCCATTAAACTATAAATTCAATACGAAAATTACCATAGTAGATTTAACTTTTTGAAAGGTTTCAGCAATTTTATTGCAAGAAATGTATGCTGCACAATCTTAGCAATAATGGAATGCTCTTGGTTCCTTTTTGCAAAATGCAATCCACGTAATCCAAACCAACATGATTTTCAGTTTGTTTCCTGGTTACCCTATGCTTGTATCTTGAAGTTGCTCTATCTGAGGGGTATTTTGATCAGCACTACGCAATCAGCTTAAAGGCCAGAACTCGATTTTGTGACTACCATAACTCACCCTCTCTAACCCGTACCCTTCAATTTCTTGCAAAAATGTCAAGTTCCACCCTTGCTTATAAACTCGGTGTTAGTACAAACTTTACATTTTTCTGCAATTGATCAGCTCCTATACCAAAACTCAATTCTGTGACTATCTTGACTGACTCATCCTTACCCTTAAAGCGTCTTCAAGCCAATTTTTAATAGGTCTGAAAACCTGTTTCATCCTCTCGGAAAATATCCACGTGTAGATTCAGCCGGCGATGCCGCTGAGATGTAGGAGTAAAAGAGCACCAAGGTCTTATGCACCGGCGTCAAGATCATAATTATGAGAGCCATGTTATTAATGTGCAATGCGCGTGGGATAAAATTACGGTGAAAATCATTCTTTTCATCTGACAGATAGTGCAAACGGTTATGTAAAGAGTGAATCGCTTTTTTGTGTAAAGGTGAAAGTTTATCGCAATAACATTAAGAAAATTAATTGCATGCTGAGGACATTTTACCTTTACATGGATAGATAAAAGAGAACATTTCTTTAGGGAAATTTCGATAATTGTCTTTTAACGGTCACTCAAAATCGGTGGAACATCGAGGGAAATTTTCTCGGTGGTGCATTTGCACAAGACCGGACTGCGCATTGCAGCTCTGAGCTGATGTGGTTAGAGTCATTTCATTTTTCCTCCTCTACCGGAACTAAATGCACACATAGCTTGACTTCTCCACGAATGAAGGTTATTTTTGATCCCTTCGCGCCGTTTTCTGTGGTAAAGCATATTTTTGAAAATTTTGGAGTCAATTCGTTTTATTGCTTTTTTTAATTTTTTTTTTCTTATATAAATTAGTTTTCAGTGAGCTTCCTTATACATAGGAAATATATACTTTGTTATTGCATATAAATACATGTGAATGTACAAGCGACCGAGTAACTTGTAACTTGTTTACACGTAAAAAAGATAAGATATAAAATTACATCATGAAGAAATAAAATCATAGGGTCAGACCGGACGGCTGGCCAGTTCCCACGACTTTACCCTTTTGAGGCGTCTGTATTCATTGGAGTTGTCCAAGAGTTGAATTGCCTCAATGTTGGGATGAGAATGGAGACGTTGCTCGTAGTTCGTTGCGATTTCGGAGATGTATTGCAAGAACGTCTCTATCTTTTTTTTTTTTTTTTTTTTTTTTTTTTTTTTTTTTTTTTTTTAAACTGAACCATTTATTTAATTTGAACAGATGGAAGAATGTGCGTTACAAGCTGACCCCGACCTTCAGCTCAGGCAAGCTGAAGGGAATGCACGAACTGATGCAGGCCTGCATCGTGGAGCTGGACGACTACCTCACCAAGGCCACAAGTGGTGACTCCAAGGATTCGAACGTTCAGGACTTGAGGGAACTCATGGCCAAGTTCACGACTGACGTCATCGGTGCTTGCGCTTTCGGCCTCAACTGCAACTCCATCCGCGACGAGAACTCGGAGTTTCGGCGCATCGGGAGACTCATCTTCTCCTTCTCGTGGCGAAGTTATATCCGCGCCATCGTCTTGACTCTCGCCCCCGGGATAGTAATGGCTACCAAATGGAAAAATGCCCGCCCTGAGGTAAGACCTACTCAAGAATCTCCATTACAGACTTGGATTGCATTTTGCAAAGAGGAACCACTAGCATTGCAATGTTGCTAAAATTGTGCAACTTCTTTTGTCTTGGAGGAAAAACCCGATTATCCATTCATAGTTTCTATTTTACTCGCTAAAAACTGTAAATTTAAGACGAAAATTACCATCTAAATTTCATATTTTTTCACGATTTCCGCAATTTTATTGCAATAAATGAAGTTGCACAATCTTAGCATCATTGCAATGCTATAGTGGTTCCTTTTTGCAAAATGCAATCCACTTATGATAGAATCTAGACCTTGCGCCAGGCTTGACTTAAGAACGGTAGCGGTAACCCAGCTTGGGGTTCTTAACGCGCCTTCACGTGTAACGCTGCAACCTGGCATACAAGGAGCACTAAAAAGGCAGCTCTTAAACATATCATCTCATCAAGAGTTGTACGAGCGGTCTAGACTGATTTCTATGTTCACGATGTCCACTCTCCTTTTCATCGATGCAATCTTGATTTATTACGGTCAAGGGGACAGAGAACTTTAGTCCAGATAGAGTCCTTTATAAGGAGAGTTAAGGCACTTTGGCTCCTTGATTTTACAAACGGACAAAAATATTACGAAATTATAAGTATACATTTAAAGTAACATCTCACGTAATTATGATGAACGCACTCCTAGATTCTTTCAGTGTATTTTCGGAGAAAAATGTATTGTTGCATTATTCTATATTCCTTCTTTTACTCCGTTTTTCTTTGTCGTTTTTGTGCTTATACCCTTGGATTTCTGGTCCAATCTTATTCAGAATCCTTGCTACCAGTTAAAGTGTAACATTTCTGCCATCAATCTTATGACACCGTGAGAGCTTAAAATACAGGAACCAATTAGAACGGGAGTCCAGATGTCTTAACCCTGCTATAAAGGGACTCCAGCCCACGGAGGTAAAGTAAAATTCCAGCAGACCGATTTTGGTCGAAAGGGGTCGAAAAATCAGATTATGAGATTTCGACAGAAAATTTTATGTTCAATTTTGATTAATGAGCTGCAAACTTTTTACGCCGTTTTTGTGCCTATGAAGGGCGTAGGAGCACATGATAAATTGGCAGTTTCTTGCCCTGAACGTCTCACATGAAAAAAAAATAAATAATAATTTTCTTTAAACTAAGATTGTTTGATATATGTCAGGTGGTAACGTTGTCAGTAATATTTGCATTGCTTTATTTTCTTTCATTTTCTTTTTAGATTGAGAATTTCTTCATGTCAGTTCTGAAGGGCGCTGTTGAACACAGAAAATCCCATACCGAACAAAAGAGAAACGACTTTTTGCAACTTTTAATCAATATCCAAGCAGAGGAGCGAAAACAGTTGGAGAGCAATGGCCAACACAATGGAACCCAAAATGGCACCCAAAATGGAATTCAAAATGGACTTCAAAATGGACATGCTGAGAGTGTATCAGAAAAATCCAAAGGTAAATCAGTTATTTTCTTACATGTATAAGCACATATATTTTTATTGAATCAAATAATGCAAAAATATGATCCTCTTAGCTTCAAGACGATCGAATATTTTCAAATATCTAGATTTATTCACGAGACCATTGTGAGGGAAGGGGAGTCACGGAGACTGGAGACATTTGTGAAAGAACTTTCTGGTAGAGATTTAAAAAATTCACCCACCGATTTTCGGGCAGTAACTTTTTGCCCGCGCTTCTGCAGTAAAACTTTGGCCGACTTAACTTCGAGCTGAATGGCCCTGACTCTCCTGCATTCTATTACAGTTGCTTAAAAAAAAATTGATTAGGCATTGTCCAAACCGATGTCCGAAACGCAAATTACTCAAGCCTCTACTCTACTGTGCTAAAGAAAAACGCCGTATAAACATCCGTATGTTGCTAAATTTCCCATTGTGAAACATTCATTTTTGAATATTTTTCCTTGAAATTTTTAGACACTGGAGAATAAATTGCGCGTGAAACTCTCTGAGAATTTGGAAGATATATTAACACAGATTTCCCTGTAAAATCATATTTTATCAAAGGAAATTTAGTAACGCCTTAAGGCTTCTACGGCGTTTTTCCTTAGTACGCAGTACTATGCTTACTGATCTTGACAAACTACTTCATCTCGCTGTTACTGTTTCAGATATTCTGTTCGATGACTCAGTAGTCGCTTCAAATGCGTTCATTTTCTTCATCGCTGGTTTCGAGACGACCGCCTCGACGCTCAGCTACTGTTTGTACGAGCTGGCTCTTAATCCGGATATCGGTGAAAAATTGTACGAAGAGGTAGAATCCGTGAAGCAAGCCCACAACGGCACTCTAGACTACGACGCTGTGAATAAGGAGCTTGTTTACATGGAGGCAGTTATATCAGGTAAGCACCAGCCCTGCCAAAACATTGTGTAAGCGGGCTACTCGCGAGGTGATTCAATGTTTTACCACAGCGCATTTAAAAAATTGCAACATACGCGAAGTACTCGAAAGATAAAAAAGCTTGAAGTGGTCTTATTATATCCCGCTCATCTGCAAATAATCTTGTTGGGTTGCATTTCCGTTGTAAATCGTATCGAAGGACTCTATTGTAGGAACGAGAGATAAAAAATCCTGATTATCAAAAGTCTACCAATTTTTATCGATATTCACATTAGCATTAACTGGTCAGGATCGGGCGAATTATGGACGGACCCCTTCGATTTAAAATAAATTCCGATCTGATAAAAATTCTGATACATTTTTTACCGTATTTATTTTCATTCCTTGATTCCGAAGGAAAGGGTAGCTATTTAAGTTTTGTCTTCTTACGTCCTCAATCAAACTTATATAATCTAAGTTAAAGAGTTCATTCTGTAAGTCCATTCTTAAATTAATCAAAGTATTTAAAAAAAAAAAAAAAAAAAAAAAAAAAAAAAAAAAAAAAAAAAACATACAAACTAATATTTGTCCTAGTGTCTCAGGAAAAAGAACATTAGTGCTCAACAGCAAAATTTTTTAGAGTAATTTTGTTTAACTATAGATGAAGAAACCGGATTTAGAAGTCTGGATGGAAGATGTTTTCCGATGTATTGTAAAGTATCTCATTTCCTATTTGTGCCAATTGAGGGCATGCAACTCCAATTAACTCCAAAACTTTTAAGCCTAAAACATGATTGACTAAATTTTTAAACAATTTTTTGAAATGAGAATTTCATTTGAAATTTGGACCGCGTTTAGCAGAAAGGGACCAAGCCACATCAGTCATTGCCAAATTTAACTGGGCAATTTGATTTTTTACAAGAAAACTTTGGCGTAGACTCCTTGGAAAATGTTAAGAATTTTGATTGGTACCATCCAGCAAGTTTACCGAAAATTACACAATAATCCGCACAACTTTTTGCGTGTAAAAAATTAAATTGCTCAATTAAATTTTGCAATAACTGATGTGGCTTGGTTACTTTCTGCTTAACGCAGTCCATTCGTCGTTCTTTGTTTTATCAATTTCCTTTTTTGGTTCGTCAAAATATTCTTAAACGCTTCGTTCAGCCATGGTCCAATTTCAATCTTGATCCAATCGGCACTAAAGTATCTCTCCAGTGGACGGTCAAACGAAAGTGGCGTCTGGAAAATTCTATAATGCCCATTGACTGACAGGCACTTGAAATAATGAGAAAATATACCTTGCAGTTTGTGAGTGGCCCACAGGTTCTACCACGTTGTCAAGAAACCGAGGGTCATGTTCTTGATTTGATTTTTCCAGAGACGCTGAGAAAGTACCCACCAGCATCTGTTCTGGGAAGACGTTGCAATGAGGCGTTCCAAATTCCGGATACGAATGTTGTGATCGAGGAAGGCGTTGGTGTCACCGTTTCTGTCTACGGTCTCCATCATGACCCGCAATATTTTCCGGAGCCGGAAAAATTCAAACCGGAGAGGTTTCTTGGGGAAAATAAGGACAAAATTGTGCCCGGATCGTATCTGCCTTTCGGCGATGGACCCAGGATATGCATCGGTAGGCTTTGATACACAATATACGAAAACACAAAACAAAGAAAATACGTGGAAATATTTACTGTAAAAATGAGTTTTTTCGAAGACCCTTCGATAAAAAAAATGCCCTTTGTTGAGGCGCAGTTTTATCACCTCCGGTTTAAATATTGTCACCTTCCTGCCAAAGTATCACAAGCGCCATGCGACGCTTCAAAATTTTCTCTGGCATTTTATTTTTTTCTTACAGAGAAATTTTTGGTTGAATCTGTTTGAAAGTTCACTGAGTTTTATCTGCAGCACAAAGAAAATTCAGTAAAATTTTCAAACAGATTCGACCAACAATTTCGCTGTAAAAAAATAAAATGGCGAAATTTTGAAACATCGCATGGCGCTTATGGTACTTTGGCCGGAAGTTGACGATTTTTAATCAGGTTAAAACTGCGCAAATGGAGAGCGCACACCCCGCACCGTGCTGTGCGCTCAATGCGTAAAGTATTCACGCATACTCCACGTGTCCGTGAATTCACCAAAGTAATACTTCACTTCTGCAATCTTGGAGGCGCTAATATACGTTTCACGTCAACTGACCGCGACTCCACTGCATTTGGTGCAATGCGAGAAGTATTCATGCAGTCTCGTAGGCGCTGATGCCGCGCCGCGCCGACTGCACTGTTTGGTGCAATATGTGAAGTATTCCTCCAGTCTTGCAGGCGCTAATATGCGTTTAACGTTCATCGCACTGTGTTTGGCGCGATCATTCGAAGAATTCGCGTTAAGATACTCATGGCATCGAATAATGGGGCTTAAAAGGGCCCATGTCATGTCTAGACGTCGTATGGGCATTCCAACGTTGCCTCATTTCTCCCGATAAAATATTTTTTCCGAGAAAAGTTGGGAGAGTTCTCTATATTCGTTTTTTTAGATTGAATGGACCATTAAACAAGGTACAAATTTAAGCATTCTGATACATTGTTCTTACACATATTTCACGTAGAACACGATTCTTGCATTGAAAATTACTAAAATCAACTTATAATTAAGATATTAACGTTTTTATTTTACATTGGCTACGGGAATTTTGAATTGCCCGATCATAAGAAACGCAATTCTCTACGTGAGTCAAATTGCACCTCACAACAGTTTTGGCAGGCTTCTCGATCGAGTATTGTTTCTTTGCTACCTTTTATCGTTCAAAGTGTAAACAATTTGCAAGAGCTGAGGCAAAGCGTCAAGATTGAGGTTGCCAGATTTTCATATCGCAGAGATTGTCATGGTAAAGTTATGTCTATGTTGCAAATAGATAAAAAAATGGAGGTAAAAAAAAACTGGTGATTTCTATACTGTGTTTCTGTGTTTTATTAGTTAACCCTTTCCCATTTTTGGAAAAATACTTAATTTAAAACACAAAGGATCAATAAACAAATACTTTTTTAAGTTTCTCAGTAATTGATTAGGAGCAAACAATTAATCCATGGAAATAGATTAAATGAAAACTGATTCACATATCTTTTCATGGAGAATAATTCTGACAACCATTTGACGAGTAGACCAAAGCCCTTGACCTCGATTCCCCAAACTTTCGATTAACTTTTACTTCGCTCTGTTCCATGCTAAAACTGAGGGTTGTAATGCAATTTTATGAACTGCTCCGCCACAAAAATTGACTTAATCACCCGAGTTTTCCGTCAGAAAATCACAAATCAATTATTTATTTCAACGAAAATCGTTGCATTAAATTTCGGCCTTTGTATACTTGTATTCTTTTTCTGGCCAGCGGTCTCATTTCCTTCGATGTGCCTTTTATTGCTTCAATTACCCAATGTATCGGTGTATTTCATTATGCACATTATAATGCAATTTATGTATTTATTTTTGATTCCAGGGATGCGATTTGCTCATTACGAAATGAAATCAGTCCTGTCATACATCATCTCTAATTACACTATCCACAGATGCAACAAAACCGTCGTGCCTTTGCAATATGATACTCGAAGTCTCCTTCACACTCCAGTCGGAGGCGTTTGGGTCCAATTTCAGAAAAGACCTAAATGATAAGAATCTCTGAGTGAACTTGTGAAATTTGAAGTGATTTTTCCTTGTTTTGAGTTATTGTTTTTATGAATTATGTTTTGTATTAGTAAAATTTTTATTTTGTATTAAATCTAAGTTTTTTTTAAATAAAGTGTTAAAATGTTTAAAGTTATTTTTAATTGAATCCAATTACATCATCAAGTTGCGGAGGCTCAGGAGTCGAAGTGCATTCGAAGACATATTTCTTCATCAAAATCACATGCTGAATAATTGAACATAGCAAAAATGGTCAGAGTGAACTTGAGTGTCAGTTTGAAGAGTTTATTATTCACAATCATTTTTTCAATTGAAAGTTCTCACTCATTTAAAATCATCGTAGGTCAAAATCGGCCGCCGGACTCAAAATCTTTGTTCGACACAGGGCTGAAGTTGAACTTTATACAAATTTTCCTCATCCTTATTTGATTCCAGAACAATTTCGCTCGATGAGACATTAATTTCATGTTTAAGCGTACTAAATTTGGTGCGGTGTCAAATTTGATTTAAGTAGACATTGTAGAGAGTATAAATGTATGAAAAAGGAAGACCGTAACCTTACATTTGCAACCGTTCACGAGAAAAGTGTTCTTATGAATTGGTGACAAAATTTTGAGAGGAGTTATTTTAGCAGAGTTGAGTAGTTGAAAAATAGGTATTTTAGGTTAACAGGTTTTTGAGCTTTCTAATTGGATTACATTTTGCAATAAGGAACCACTACCTCTGGCTCTTCCATAAAAGCACCTTTCCGGGTAGGGAAACTAATGGCGTGTATGTTGTTTCTAAAATGAGCTAGAAATAGTAGATTTTCATTGCAAAATGTGCTCAAATTAGTTTTGTGCCGATAAAGGGCCTGAAGATGGATTATAATATGGATGGCTAATTCATACTCTGAACATGAAAGATTAGAATTTTGAACTCTTTTAATCCAGAACTCCATTTTTTTAACTTTAAACTCGAAAACGCAATAACTCCAATTTGGCTTAAAATTGAGCGTTTTTTTATGTATAAGTGCACCAGGTCTTGGACATCTCAATTTTGAGTTTTTGATTTAATGCAACTTCTCCCTAGAATTGTCACATTTATGAGCTTAATTTGGAACTTTTGAAAGTGTTCACTGTGTTGATTTTAATGAAAAAACACGCATTGTAATGTTTAATTCTAACATTGTCTCCTGATAGTACACCAAGTTTCAGAAGTGTTTTAGAAAAGCGTCACTTAAAACATTTTCTCTATTAACTCTGCAATTAAGATAAAAGCAATACTAGCCAACTGAGACCAGCATGACGACTTATTCCACCAGAAAAAAGTAGGAGACGATTTAATTTTAGCTGGACACGCTCCTGACTCATTTCTGAGTTTATGTTCCGATATTCGAATCAAGACATGTAGAACCCCTTCAATGCTTGTAGATGCAATATGTTTGACTTCTAAGGACTGAACTTCCTAACTCACAAGCACAACTCATTTCTGTCATCTGTGTCTATATGCTCTCGAAGTAGAATCAGGACACGTAGAGCCCCTTCAATTCAAGTAGATGCAATTTATGTGATTAATGCGGACTAAGCTCCTTTACCTACGAGAAGGCGCTATACCACGCGGAGACATATTTTTCCTCAATAAATACTCACTGACTGATTTTACATTTTTTCAGACTTGAGCGCAGTTTCATATACGTAAGGTCTGCTTGAAAAATGCGTTCACTGGCCGGCTGCATATTTTTATGTCATTTATTTTAATTTATTAGAATATCAAAAAGAGTAAAAATGAGGAAACACAGTTTAGGTACATTCAAATCAACGTACTATATAAATTCTGACGCTGCTCAAAATTGAACAGGGTCTGAATTTATGCATTATGTTCTGCACACATTTTTTCATCAGAAATTGTCGTAAAAATTTAGTCATGCGATGAGACTGTCGAACTCAGATTTCCAGTGAGTTATTGCTATTTTTAATTATAACTTTCCGATGAAAATCTAATTCTCGACTAAAATGGAAGAAAACGCCGACAATTGACAATTAACGTACATGACCGGTAACTGAGTCAATGAACTTAGTAAAACGTGTACAACGATTATAATGACAAATCTGCGCACGTATAAATTGTATTGATAGTAAAATAAGCAAATTTTTTAGTGCGTAATTTGATTTATGTACGTAAGTGTTGCATTTCAATATGCGTAATCTCTGAATATAAGATTACGAGAAAGGATTTTATTTCCTTTCAGAATTGACGTAAACAATTCTTCTCACCAGCCCCAGTGTGTAATAGAACAAGTTTAGGTGGAGGAAAAAAATCATCGATACTTCTCTCTTAGAGTTAACCTCCAAATTCAATCATTACAGAAATAAATCAAAGCGCCTTCAATTTTTCATGGTATGCAGCACGCACATCCTAAGAGCACGAATAGTTGCATTCAGGCGCCGGCATCGATTTTGCGCTCACGTTTACAGCTCACCGACTCGTTGATTGAGAATTAAGATCGACTGAAACTGTGCTGATAGTGCTTCCAACTTGGTAAAGTTTTCTATTCGGAATTCTTAAATGCATCGCATCAGACAAATATGGAAAAGAGCGTATAAAATGTTATTCTGGTACACATTGTGTGCAAAAAATAACTATCGATGGCTAATTTCATTTAATTTTGTTTCTACAAGCGGGAATTTGAATGGACCAGGACGGTCTCATAAAAAAAGTGGCGAACAATAAAATATGTCACCGAGAATCCTCCTCCTCCCCCTTCCACTCTTCGTCGCATCGTATTTAGTCTTTTTATTTAGTTAGTGTTTAGTATTATCATATCTATTCTACTAAGATCCTTCTTAAGACGCTCGATGGACGGGGCGAGGAAGGAAAGTAAGACGGTCCATGAGCTCACTGAAAAAAAAATCTCTGTGTATTTACTAAGAAAATGGTAAAATTAGGGTTCTTCTTTTACTAGTGAACAATGCATTTAATTGAGAATCCGCTGGGAAGCATCTCAGACCCTGTTTATGTTTATTTGTTGTCAACAGGGTGGCAACATGTCAAAGAGAAAGAATGGAGATGTTGCAGGTGTCAGGTATTTGCGATTTGACTACTGATTCTTATGTAAAAGTTGGCGAGAAACACGATGGTGCCACTGGTTTTTTCTGAAATCAACTCCCAAGCTCAAAAAAGCTCTCAAGTTGAGGCCAAAATGGAGGGGATATCCCACGCTACCCTGAGAGTCCACCTCTTCATCAAAACCAACTCTCCATGCAAAGAAAGGGAGCAAATACATTGACAGGGCTGCCACTTTATTTGGGGACTCCAAAACTGAAAACACGGCAACCCTGCTAATGTAGGTATTTGCTCCCTATCTTTGCATGGAGAGTTTGTCTTGATGTAGACGTGGACTCTCAGAGTAGCGTGGGATATCCCCTCCATTTTGGCCTCAACTTGAGAGCTTTTTTTGAGCTTGGGAGTTGATTTCAGAGAAAACCAGTGGCACCATCGTGTTTCTCGCGAACTTTTACATATGAAACAGTAGTCAAATCGCAAATTCCTCACACATGCAACATCTTCATTCACAAATGAAATTTCCGTGTAAGCCCCACCAGGGTACCATATTGATATCGGTATGATACCACCGGAGCCAGTGCCTCGCTACCCTGGTCCGAGAGATGATCGTATTTTAGATGTTAACCTTGTTTTCTTCTTTATTACTTTTCCGATCAAAAATGCCTGAGCGTCAAGGTGAAATGTCTCAATTTTTCTGTTATATTCAGCCTTTACTCCCAAATTCATGTTCTGGTGTGTATTATTTCGGATTAATTTGAATTCAACTATATTTATAGTGCCACCTTGGTAACACGTAGGCGCGTCGCGTACGCTTTTCGAAGGGCGTTTCTGACTAAACGCTTGCAGATACGCCAAAATGCTTTAAATTTGCCTCTCTATGAACCCCTACTCGTTAATCTAACATATGATTGATATGTGACATTGCCTAAAAGTCAAAATTGTACCTCGCGCCCTTTTCGAGCGTGGCGCACCGGGTAAAAATTTCTCAATTTTTTTTCCCTCTGGAGAGGTTATTTTTTAGACCTCATAGCACAAATTTAGCTCGGGGCTAACTTGAAAATGCCAATTTTCAAAATTATGCTACACCCTAACGCCTTGTCTCCACGGGACGTTTCATGGGATTTTTCCCAAGTTCGAATCGCAAAAATGAAACTTCTGCGCTTTTTTCCCGTTAAACAACACAGCACATTTTCTTCTTCTTTTTAATTCGTTCCTGGGACTCCACAGTGACTCTTAGTTGGCAGAGTCCCTTTATACCCAGAGTTAAGACAACTCACTTTTGGTTGGGCTGAAAGTGGCCTAAAAAAAAATCCAATTCTGATTGGTTCTCGCTCATGGAGGCCGAAACGAGTGCACCAAGATGGCGGTACCTCGAATGTGAACAAGAATAATGATAATATTACCTAATTGTGGTTTATCAAGAGTAAATTGTTATTTCCATCGGTCTAAAATGAAAATAGATTAAGAAATTATTCACAAACCAATCTAATTTTCGTTTTAATTGATCAATTTGTTGATGTTGTTGTTTTTGTGTGACAGACATCGCAGGATTCCTGATCCTTATCCCTCAATATCGTTTGTTTGGGTGCACTCGTTTCGGCCTCCATGGCCAGCCAAGGCCGACTGCCAGTCAGCTGATAATTGAGTTGTCTTAACTCTGGGTATAAAGGGACTCTATTAGTTGGCACTGGGATTAATATTAACAAACTCAATATTTTTCCCAACTTCGCAGGTGAGATTTCTCCCTGGGACAAATCCCATGGAACATCCCGTGGAGGCAAGGCGTAACGTTGGCGCGCCATTTTCGTATCAACATGGTACCACGTTCCCCTCAAAAAGTTAGTCGAATTCAGCAGGGTCGAAAAGAGGTCGATATCAAGGTATGTGTTGATTGTCTGCCGACGTCCGGGCTCGCCCGTCTGTATACTGACGTATTATTTTCACCTGGCGGGGTAAGTGACACCCGTTCGACGGTAAATTGTAAACAATCGGATTTTATAATGCACGGGAGACAGAAGCAAACCACGGGACCACTGCGTCGGTCGTTTCGGGGTGACGTCATTGCTTAATTTTTGTGCGTCGG